CTGCATCAGCCTAGCTCCATATGACTTGTCAACAGGAATGTCTCACAGGGAGTGAGCATGTGTCCCACCTCCAGCAAGCTGTTTATCTCCTTAGCACCTCCAAATGATGTCATCAAGCAGCAACCTGATTGACAGGCTACACTGGACCCCATCACTCTTAATAGTCTCAAGTTGACAACAGATTATGTAACTACCATAAAGCTGTACTAGACATTTCTTAAAAGAAGGCTAGTCATCTTGGATTGGGGAAACTTGGTGCCCCCAACACTAGGAGACACATTTTCCCATCGCGTTCTTTCTAGACTCTTCTTGCTGGCTGACCTTAGAAAGCGCTCCATCTTATGTGTCAAACGTGCCTTTTAGAGAAACATTTTATCTGTTTTTAGACATACATGCTTTTATGTATAAAATATACTGACAGCACAAATTCGCAAATGTAGCTCCTGGATTTGGCTGATTTCCGGTCTACGTTAAGCCGTGCTGTTGGAGAGCTCAACTTCATGAGGGCAGGTACAAGAGTATGGCTGCAGGAGCCCAGTCCACACAGGAGTGATTTCATTCCCGACAAAACGTGGTTTCACGTGTCTCTGCGGGCAGTGCCCGCCTGCAGACAAATTCTCCCCGCAATGGACTTACTGTAGTCTCGCGAGGGGATCTGTTGGGCCAATGAAATTCAAGGCAATGACATCCCTCAGGAGTTTATGGCAAGGGGCCTTTGGGACTCCCAAGGGACTCAAGTTTCTCACAAGACACAGGACTGTCACAGGGCTTATTGTGAAGAAGTTTTAAGAAAATCGTAAACAACATTGGTAAGGAAATGTCTGCAACTTTGAGCCGAGGGAAATTTTTTCCCCCCATAACGACAATGGACCTGCGCATTCTTGCAGAATAGCAAGGCCCGCCCAACGAGAATCTCACTGGGAGACATTCACCCCTCCACCCTAAAGCCCTGGTCTCTGATCTTACCCCTTCAGACTTTGTGTTTTGTTTCCCAGGCTCAATAGTTAAAATAAAAATTATCCGAGTCCTGTGAGGAAGCCCAAACTGCCACTTTGACCTGGTATGAATCGTAGGGCGCAGAATTCTTCCAAGAAGGTTCCCAAACCCTCGCTGCCATCGAGTCAGTTCTGACTCACGTGCTCCCCCAGGGTACGGAAGAACTGCCCCTGTGGCCTTGCAAGACCGGAACTCTTTCTTTTTTTGGACAGAATACCAAACTATATTTACTGTTTACAGTAGTAAACGACAACAAATCATGTACAGTTGGTGAGAAACACAACAGAGCCAACAACCACCCCACCCCCTGTCCACAGAGCAAACGGCAACGGCAATAAGAACATCCACAGCAAGATTTCACACAAGCAGGGGACGAAGGGTTGTGCCACCCCACCAGGTGACCACACCAAGCGGAGAACGGCCGTCAAGCAGCACTGACCCCTCACTGACTGAACAACGGGCAGTAGGCTGAGACTGTAATGGGTAGAGATCCCCAGGGGGTTCACAGAACTGAAATCGCCCAACGAATGTCTAGCCCTTCAATCTGTATTTGGAAAGCGGCCCAGCCAAACTCGGTGAGAACAACACGAAGCCATCTTTGCAGGGGGGGTCACCTGTCACCACCCTTCCCAGGGAGCTCTGGAACAGAACAACACAACTACAAATCCAGCGATCCATCCTCTCCTTTTCACATAGGGACCATGACTCAGAGACACCAGCGCCAGGACTGAGACCACCATACTACGACCAAAGGGGAATTGTGGCCATTGTTTTCTCCTAGTGAGCCCAAGGGCAAAAGCAGATGGAGTTCTGCAGTGGTGGCCCGCTGCACCAATGCACAGACACGGCGCGCATGGTACTGGAGACTCGAGTTCACAGAGACCTGCGGGGCCGTCTCCCTTCTTTGACTTTTAAGCAACATCCCTTGGAGATGACCAGATGTGGAGCAAATCTTACATTTGCAACATGCGGGTACAATTTCATGAGCCGCGCAGTCTTC